CACACACACACACACACACACACACACACACACACACACACACACACACACACACACACACACACACACACACTGCTCTAGCAGGTGCATGTGTCAAACTGAAAACATATCAGATAAAAATGACAAAGCCCAGCAGCACAGAAGGCTCGCAGACCCTAAAGCTGAGGATTTTCTGGTCTTTTTTTGACAACAGGCAATGGTAATGTTGTATAACACCTTGAATAACACTTCCAATCTTAATAATACACCAGCTCTTCCCTCCTACTTGTTCCTTACAGCTTAGGTTCTCCATGCTTCTCTAACCATATTACCATCAGAGACTCATGACAGCGTTAGAAGCCCCTTTATGATCCTCATATTATTGTGGAAAGTGATTTAAGACGTTTCAGGCGTCACATCTTTCCCCTCACACAATAGCAGAAGACGAAAAGGGAAGCTTTTAGTTCTGTTTTTTTTACTTTTCACTGTTTTTTGTTTGTTTGCATGTGTGAATGTGCTTCTTTCCCTAAGCTGTAAGTGGACGTATGCGTTATTTCAGGACGATATTCGATGAGCGGGTAGCAAGAACGAGTCCCAACATCCGCCATCCCTCTTATCATCGCCATAGAAACCGTCAGTGGCGATAAACACGCTGCTTTTCACGCTTGACCGGTGTGACTGACAGGCTGTCTCCACCCACCAATAATGGCAGTATTAATTATTCTGCACATCCCGGGGCAGACGTTATTCAGGGGGAATTTCTGATGAGCTCGCGCCGAGGTGGACACACCGCCGCGCAGTGTCGGTCTGAAAGTGCCAGAATGCAGAGAAAGCAGCAGGGTGTACAAGTTGTTCTCTAAAAATAAATCTAATTGAAATTCCTCTGTTGATTATTCACTGCAAGGAAGTGAAAGAAAATTAAATAAAAAAAAAAACAACTAGGCTTCTCCTCTAAATCACCCCCCCCACACACACACTGTCCCCCATCGGTCCTCCAGTGCAAGTAGCAGCATTGTCTGGTGCTGAAGTGGTGCATCTGCCAAATAATTATCCAACAGTGCTGTAAGGCTGCTCCAACACAATGTGCTTCTGTATGTGTGAGAAAGACAGACACAGAGACGACATTTTTATTTTTATTCCATTTATTCTCTGTGTATTTGTTAAATGTCAGTCCGTCTTTCTTTACATTCTTGTTTCAGATCACGTGTATGAGGAGAACGTGTTTGCTCGGATCTGTCTGTGAACCGTGTTGTGTGTAAGCAGCCTGCATAACAAGTGTGTCTGTAGATCTTCCCGTAGGGATTCCCCTGCCGCTTAACTTTTATGAGGGAGGGATATTTAAAACTCCCCCACCACCCCCTTCCTCACCTCGTTTCCTCTCTCCATCACGTATGCTCCCTCCCGCCATCACGTTTTTGACTTCCAAAATATCCCCCCTTTCCTACATCATCCCCTCCAGCTGGAGCAAGACTGGGTCTAAAGAAGGGCGGTGAAGCATTAACCACATCTGAACTTGGACAGTTATTTTTATTCAAAGCAGCCAGAGACCCTAAAACAGTGTTCGGTCAGATTATCAGCCAAAAATTCAGGTAAAAAACTGGATCTTTAGGCACGTTGTCTGTCTCAAAGACACAATTTGTTTCCATTTTTTAATCAAATCTGTGCAAAGGCTGTGTCAKCTCTATTTTTATCTAATATAACTTTCAGTTGTTTTTTATTTGCTGAAGATAGTTTTTTTTTTCTGACTGTTTTTTTCCCTTTTGTCCTCCACTTGTCCATTTATAGCTGAGCACAAGTACTGGACTTAAACTAAGTAAAAAACAACCAAAGTCCCAAGACAAACTTTGACAGAATTTCAAACAACAATAACAAAAAAAGACTAGCCTGGCCCTTGCCTTTCTATGCAGATCCGCTCAATAGTTTCACAAGTGAAGGACAAGGGTCTGGTTTTTACCAGGCTAAAAAAAGACAGAACCCGAGATCAGTTAAAATAAGCTACATATGTCTAATGTGTGTCTTTTCATTCTTTGATGTCTGTCTGTGCTTTTGTACTGGAAGAATTTGAGGTAAAGTGCTGCCTAATTGAAACATTCAAGGGTTCAATTTTTAAAATAATGTCAGCCTTTTTATTCAGTTTCCCTTTGACTGACAAAAAAATCAGTTCACACTCAGGCTGTTTGTGTGTTGTTTGATAGATGATCCAGAAGACCAGTTTGGACCTCGAGGGCAGTCACTTCAAAATCCATACAAAACACAAAGCCATAACGTTATGACCACTGATCACTTCACAAGGTGGCAGTTGACAGAACAGTTCCAGTTGACTTGTGAAATGTGCTGGACAAACATGTTTTACATCAAAGTTACACAACCTCAGGGATCTGCTGGTTTTAGTAGCAAAAGGACCTACTCAGTATTAGGTCCAATAATACATATGTGTTTGTGTACCTGGTTTTTGTTACCTGTTTTGGATCTTTTTTGTGTCCATGTCTGGATTAGTAGTTTTTTTGGGGATCAAAGCCCTGCCCTCATAGGGTGGAACATTGGTTTTGGGTTTATTTAGGTTTAGTTTCAGGCACATAAAAATGTTTTTGACTACTTATACCAACTTATTTTGTCTATCACTGAAAATGTCTATGTTGAAGATAGAATAAGGTTTTGAGCATATGCGCAATGCTATCAATGAAGTGGAATTTATAATTTATATGAGTAATTTAGTCATAACTAATTTTTCTAAGTTGGCATTAAACATTATAGTGTGATGGGGCCTTTAGGGTTAGGACTAGACATGCTCTGGTAATTTTTGGGTTTAGGTGTGGGTTTCCCCCTGAATTAGTCTAATGACTGAAACAGTTTGAAGAAGGGAATCATAGCAGCCCAAAATATGAAGTCATTATTTTAAATTGTTTTGGTTAATTTAATGAGTGAAGCATCATTTTAAGTTCCTCTTTAGGGTCAGGGATAAAACAAAAGTGAATCAATACAATGTCCTAATAAGGATAGAAATAATTGTGTGTTTGTGTGTGTGGTCATAATGCTGTTTATGATTTGTGCACAGAGAACATAACTGTATTTGTCACTCTAAAACACCTTTATGACATTTTAAACTGAACATAACTTTTCATAATGATAATTTGTCACAGATGAGATTGCTCTATTAGCACATTTATTATCTTCAGAATCCCTTTAATGAGATCAAACAGACATAGAAAGCCTCTCCATCGCACATCGCTCGCTCTGTTCATCTCCCATGTTATGCTAACCGTCCTGCCACACCCCACCTGTGAGTATTTCATGTTTCATAAATATAATGTGACCATGAACACACTCCCGGTAGATTTTCTTTGGTGAGTACTCATCATGACTAAATGTGGTGATGTAGTAACTCAGTCCCTACCCTGCCCGGTCCTTCTTCCTCCCTCACCCCTCTGCCTCCCTGTCGCCCCCCCGCTCCCCTCCCTTCCCTCCCGTCCATCATTGCTCCTCTTACAGGGCTGCTCCTGGCTATAGCCTGAAGAGCTCCGCCCATCCTGTCCACCCCTCTCCACCCTGGAGTCCTCCCCCAGGATGTTGAGCCCCATCCAGGTCCTGTGCTCCGACATCACTACCCTTTCTCTGGAGCCTGAGCCGTTTGCCTCTTACACTGAAGGTGTGTGCTCTATCCTCTTCTCTCCCAAAGCTCGTATCAGTGTCACGCTTTGACGCCACATGACCCCGGAATGACATGCGAGAGCRTGTGAGCGCACCTGTGCTGCGAGTGGCTGCATGCGAGCATGTGTGTTCGGAAAGGAAAGTGTGTCATTGAGAGTGTGTGTACGTAGGAGTAGTTTGAGACGGCTGTATTCTCACGCGAGTCTGGTGGTTATAAATATCCCTTTTGTCTCAGTCTGCCTGCCTCATCTGTTTGATGTGTGTTTATTTTTGTCTCAGTCTGGCTGATTCTGTGTGGATTTATTATGAGTGCCCATTATTTTTACTAGTTTTATCTCATCTCATCTTATTCAAAGCTTGATTTTACTTCTGTCCTCATTTACACATGCACATACACTTTATGCAATATGTGTTGACAACACAACATCAATAACAATTCATCTGCTAATTATTTTGTAAATTAATGATTTAGTGAGTATTGTTGGGAGAACATGAGACTCGAACCATAAAGAATCGTTTTTGCATTTATCTCAAAAAGAGTCTAACTATTAAAATAATCTAGCTTTTAAGTCACTTCTGTAAACTCAGAGTCTTCTAGCAGAGAGAAAAAACAGCATGAAGGGAAGCTAATCTTTATTCAGGGATAATGCTTCAGTATTCATGAGACATCAGCTATCACATTTTTCAGTATCGCTGGATTAGATTAGGATTAAAACCAGCTAAGATCCTTTTATTTTAACGTCACAGTGTTGTAAACTTGGCGTGAGACAGATCTTTTTTCCTAACAATATAAGATCCTTCACAGCTTTGTGGATTCTTTATCTGCAGCACAGTAAATTCAGGATTACAGGTGTCTTCCTCACTCGCTGGAGTCCGCTTGGTGCATGATTCTAATTGAGTCTATAACCATTAGGCTCACACGGCCTTAGCTCCATTGTGCTGATGTGTGTTTGGAGAAATGGCAGGGTCCCCTGCTGTGCCGTGCTTAAATCCTTCTGCACACGTGCACCTCTAACACAAACACAAGCACTATTATTACTTTTTTTTTTAAATAACTCCAAAACTGCAGGACAGGGATCAATTTAACATCCCCCTGCAGCAGTTTCTCCCCCCACCCCCCCTGTTTATTTCTCTGCAGAGTAATTGTGAACGCCTGTTTGTGCCCATGCACACAGGAAACGCAGGAGCGACAGAGCCACAGCGTGCAGCTGCGAACACACATGCACGCTCATCTCCCGCTGACAGGAGGCTTGTCCTACCTTTTGAGAAGCCTGTGTTTTTGGCTCAGCTTTAATGGTCTGTGTTTACTCAGAAATAAGATTTCTATAATTGAAACGTCTGTCCCTGAGGAAACCCCAGACAAAAAAGGATTTCCCCCCCTCTGCTCCTTCACGACTACCCTCATTACTCACCAACCTCCTTTCCTCTCCTCCTAATGTGTAACACTATAAAACACACTATGGTTGAATCTAAACATTGTAATGAAATGATATGAAGTATTATGTCCCCATTGTGTGTAATTTTCATGTTATAAAATGTGGTTTAAAAATAAAAAAGAGTTTCTGATAATTTATTCAGATTCCTATAAAAACGAAAAACTCAGAATATTGCTGTTCGCTGTAGCTGTTAAAAATTTATTATTTGTCAGTCCATTTTTAATGTTCTTGTCTGGTTTCTTAGGTCTATAAAATGTCAAGATTACAGTGGTATTATAACACCTGAAAAGTTGTACATTCTCAAACATTAGAAATCTGGATGTTAACTCAATGACATGCTGATGTTTGAGTTTTTACCTAAAATATTATTTACATTTGAGGGTTAAGGTTAATAAATGACCAGTCTGCAAAGATCCAGTGATGGAGAGTGTTTCAAGGTTTTCAGTCCAGACAGCAAATATCAAATATTGGATATTCAAATTAAAGGGATCCACAATTAGTTGTAACAGATTTTATTTGATAAACATTTATTTTAACTGTAAAATACAGTAAAGACTGTAAAAACACTGTAGGCTGTTTAGTTTTGTAAATTTTTTAAAAATATATTTTAACATGGACAGAGCCTTTTTATTTACACAGAAAGCATTCTGGGTAAATGATGATGTGGATAGGTCTTCGGTGTGAACGAGCTATATCCACCCTGAAGGTTAATCTTGGACAATATCTGATGATCGACTCTTTTAAATGAAACCAGAGAGCGTTGACGGAGAGAAGGTAGAAATGACTCAGCCTGGAACTGAAAATATGGATGGAGGACAACAGAGCTGCTTCATGGAAGAAGAACCTCAGCTTAGCCTGTTAGCTTTCACGCTAGTGCCGACACTATCTTGCCTTATATGTATTAGCTCGGCGCTAGTGCGACAAACAAGCTAAACTGAGGTCCTCCATCCATATTTTCAGCTGCAGGCTGAGTCATTTTTGCATTTTCCTCTCTGTCGTGTGGAAGGAGGACCTCAGTGATGAGAGGAGAATGTGTAGCACTGAGCTAATACATATATATGGTGATAGCGTTGGGGCTAACTCTAAAGCTAACAGGCTAAGCTGAGGTTCTTCTTCCATGAAGCAGCTCTGTTGTCCTCCATCTATATTTTCAGTTACAGGCTGAGTCATTTCTACCTTCTCCTCTCTGTCAACGCTCTCTGGTTTCATTTAAAATTGTCATATAAAAGTCAGATATTGTCCAAGATTAACCTTCAGGGTGGATATAGCTCACTAGCAGCCTCGCACCGATGACCTAATTGACATCATCATTTATCC